ACCCCAAGAGCAAGTTGTTTAACTTGTAGAATGCATATTTATAAATTCAATATGTTGATTATCAAGTAAAGTAAAATAATGAATAATTTAAGATTTATTGATATAAAAACTTAAGTAGTAATTAATCCCTCACATCTTTTGACCTTCATCACTTCACAATTTTGTTAAGCCTAGATGTTTATTGATGATTTTGCTAGAGTTTAAATATAAACTCATTGCTTCTACTACTATAAGCAGCATCTACAATTAATTATACTCAATTATTTCTACGACCTTATCATTATTTTCTGTTCCTCATCAACTTAGCCATGAAGTTAGATTCATTTTCATATTGATTAATGTTGTTGTTATTGCTCTTTATATTGCCTATATTATCACTATTATTGTTGTTCGCTCTATAACCCTTATTTGCTGAGTCAGGAGATTTTGATTAATCAAAAATATCTTATTCATGACTAGGTGCTTTCTAATAGTTATAATTTTATTATTTCCTCTATGCTTATTTAGCGCTCATATTATAACTCATTAGGAGATCTGGATCATCTAGGTCGAGTTAATTCACTTATGAAAAAGATACACTGCCCAAACCCATCACACTTTTGGGATGATTTTGTCTATTATTTTAGTCTAATATGTTTTATCTGTTTGGCTAAACATTAGCATTGAATTTAAGATTAAAGTTTCCAAGTTTGAGATTAGCTTGATTTTACATATCCAGATGTTCTTCTGGGATTCCATCTTCATCCTCAATTCCAATATTTTCACTTAAGAAAAGATTTCTTTTTTTTCTATAGCTAGCATTTGCATTATTATTTGATGATACAAAGTTAAGATTCTTTGGACTCGTAACTTTGGCAAAAATATTGTTATTTGTACTACTACCTTAGCCACTATTCAAGTTTTTATTTCCACTAGGTCCTCTCTTTCTAGTCAGAGAATCTTTGCCTCTTCCCTAGCCCTTTTGAAGCGGATCTTTTGAAAGATCTCTAGAATAAATATCTAAATCATCTCTAACTATTATTGGACCACCGCCATACATTCTGTGAAAGATCTACCATACCTCTCTGTTCACTCCCCGGTAGTCTTTATTTAGCTCAAGATTTTCTCTAATTACAGATTAGACATCTTTTCCTTCAATAACTTTAATGAATAAATCATCGTTAGAAATAGGACCTGGTGGCAAAACGCCAATTTTTGGGTTTTCAGATTTTCTTACATTTGCAGCTTTATTCTCTGCCTTGAGAGTTGCTGAGATTTTATTTGAAACGAAAGATTTCCATTGATTAAGCCACTCACTTGATACCATAAACCATAGCTTATCAGAGCCACAGTCTAGATCTCTATCTAAAATAAGTTGCTTTTCTTTTTTACGTCTTTCGTTTAGTGATGCTATTTCATCATCAGTTACATTCATCGGATTGTGAAGTAGGTTTTTAAACATCTCAAGTGGCCTGAAAATTTAACACTTCTCACAGAATATCTCATCGTTTCCAACTTACTAAATAAAGTTTAAGAATTTCTAATACATACATTATTGCAATTAACACATATCCAGAATTTTTCTTTTTCAAGAATATGCTCAAACTTTATTGGACTGTCATCATCAAATCTTAGATTGTCTAGAAGTACATTGCAAGTTCCTCCTAATAAATTTTCAATCTTCTCATAAGCACTTTCTCTAAGTTGAAGAGCAATAGATACATCCTCAAACTGTATGTCCTCAATTTTGAAATTAATTAGAGGTGCTCTCTAATCTTCAATAATTTTAGTCATGTACACAATTTCATTATCATCATGACTTTCTAGAGAACTCATGTTGAGATCTGCATTCTACAGTTTATCAAGATGCTCTTCTACTTGTTAGTGCACATTAGTAAGTTTGACATTCTACTACTCAACTAAGTCCTCCAGCTGAGAGTGCATTTTTGCCTCAAAGGAATCAATAACTCTTCTAATCTTACTAAAATGGTCCTTCAATTTGTTCTCAATAACTTCTCGATTTCCTCGCTACATTCGCTCCAAGTATTTCAAAGTTTGATAAAGTTATGAACGTCTGTAAAGAATCATTATTCTTGTTGATTCAATGCTTTATTTGATATCCTTAATAACTTGAGGGAATATCTCAATTTAGTTTATGTTTAAGTTTTTCTCATATATACATTTAGTGCAAAGTATTTCTTTAGTTTCCTTTATGTAAGAGTGTATGATCATGTCATGATTCTGACATTTCTGGTTATATTGGATGGTCGGAGGGAGAACATACTTACTCGCTTGGAATTTACCACCCTCAATATCGCGTGACCTTTTCCTTCTTTTCCTTATGATTTAATTGCCATTCTCATCCTCCTCTATTTAATCAATATACTCTTCATCTTCACTTTTGCATTCCTCCAAATCATCCATATCTCTCTCGAAAGCCCCTCCTTGCTTTTTAGGACCTAGGCCCTAACCACCAACAAGCGCAGTTTTAGACTTGCTGAAGTTCTTAGAATTAGCTTTTGACATTCCACCTGTACCATAATTTGAATTATTAGGAGTTGGGGTATTCCCAAATTTAGCAGCTTCAACTATGGACAGGAGAGTGAAATTTTTTATCATTTTCTACAGGTCTTCTATTTTTTCAAAATTATGATTTGTTAAGCATGATGGACATTGAAGCTATTTGTTCGCAGGTTTATACATAAGTTTCAAACAACCTTCACAGAACGAATGGCCACAATTAAGCATCCTATTAACAAAAATTTAGAATACTTGTTTAAGAGAATGGATGAGGATTACCTTGGTATGCATTTGTCAGAGTTCCATTCATTTAAGCAAACAGTGCACTCCATTATTATTAACTTCTTCTTCTATTCCTAATTTATGCTTTATTATTTTTCTTCAAATATTGGGAACTCGGGGTTTTGGGGTTTTGGGGTTTTGGGG